CCCAGGGTCACACAGTTGGGGAGGAAGCAACGGTTGGAATCAGGTCTCCACACTGTTCCTCCAGCCCTTTACCTGTTTTGCGCCCTCCTGCCCAGGCCGTCCCCACTGCCCTGGGACAAAGGCGCCAGCATCCCCCACCTGCAGCGAGACTGCAGGAACTCCGGGCATGGGGAGGGCCGCGCAGTTGGACACCGGCACTATTTTTGGAGCCAAGCTGGTTGCTTTATTGCAGAGAGGACAAAGTAATACCTTCACCGGGCCCTCAGGGAGCACCTCTGATGAATACACAATGACTAAGATGTTAAATAAAATAACACAGCCGTGGGGAATCTTCCCCAGTCTCGGGCGCCTCCCGCCGGCCCGTCCCTGTGCTGAGCACTCCCGTGTAATCACACAAACGCAGTCGGGGCTGCTCAGGACCACTGTGCAGACAGGAACACTGAGGTTCAGAAGGTCAGCTCACCTGCCCAGGGTTGCACAGCCAATGGGGAGCAGCACTGATCTGCGGGGTCTCCTCGCCTGCACAGCCTCATCTCCAATGACCGTCACGCCGGCTGTGAGAGGAAGGCGCCGGAAGCACCAGTCACGCTGTCTCTCCTTGGGAGGTTACACATCACACCTGCAATTTCGCTCTATTTACTTTCAGCCTACCCATTCTTTTCTCCATAAATCACACAGCGTCCCGCCCTTGTCAGAATCATCAAAGGCCCAATTAACCCTAAGCACCGTGGGCCCTTCGCTGCAAACGAACCCCAAATCTATAGCTGTGAGGCTGGGAATATTACAAAGCAAGTGGAAAACCAGCCCAGCAAGCTGGTATTTATTCTACAGCGGCCCTGGAGTGGGGAGGGGCCCTGCGTGCAAAGGAAAACCACCCAGAGCAGCTGAATTCCGAGTGCCGAGCCTTTATTAGTAGTGATAAAAAGCAGCAAAAGCAGCACCGGGCTTTCTCCTCCCAAGTGGGGGCCGCAGTCCCAGGAATCAGTCCATGTTTTGACTGGTAGAGTTATGGAATCTATAATGCAGGCCCTGGAGAAATTAAACACGGGTTACGGCCAGCCCTGCCCCCAGCCTCCTGCGGGAACACTGGGACAGGCGGCCGTGGCCTCAGGAGCTGGGGCCGCAGGGTGAGGCTGGTGATGCCCACAGCACAGGTGATGGGGGGCCGGGCCCGCCTGCTCCCCACCTCCCTGGGGTCAAATCCACAAATCCAAGAACCGGCGACTGTCCTGACCGCAGACTGAGTACCCTCTGCGCTCTCCCGGGGAACTAACCGTGGAGAGAACCGAACAGGGTCCTGGAAGGGGCCTGGGCCCATCTTAACTACAGAGAAGAGCGAGACCCGCCTCCCCCACTCGGATTTTAGGGCCTCTTTCAACTCAAAGCACCCCCAAGGGTGGTGGCATCACGGGACTCAGCAGAAGAGGTGATCAAAAGGACAGCATGAATCGATGCTGTGCCGGCGGAGCCCTGCATCCCGGGCCTGCGGCAGTGACTCGGGAGAAAATTACTGAGCACCAGCTACATGCAGGCTCCAGGTGCGTCCAGCCCGAAACATTCTTCAGTGGTGACCGCTGGTACCGAACTCCCAGGTCCGAGAAGCAGGGTCCCCACTGACACCACGCCTCTAGCTTAGGGTCTAACGGGAAGTGTGTCTGGTTTCTGGCCCCTCTCTGAACCCTTCTCCCAGCCACATCCAGGGCTCCGGTTCTTGGAGTGACGGCGCGTGACACAGCTCGCCATTCTGACAGGCGCCACCCTCCTCAGGATGAGCTGGCCCCGGAGAGCTGGCCCTGCCGGGCTCCCCTCCACCCCTCCCCGCTCCCCTCTGCCCTCCTTCTCCAGCCGGCCGAGTGCCTCTGTACCAGGCTGTCCGAGACAACGACAGAGACAAGCATTCCTCACAAAAGCAGCAGCATGCGAAGTCCTGCTCGCCTGGCGAGTGACCCCGTCCTCCTCCGCAGAGCCCCTCCCTCCCCACCCATGGTCCCCACGTGTGCAGACGTCTTATCATTTTACCACCCTCGCGCCTACCTGCTGTGAGCAAGTAAATATGAACAGAGAAGCCAGCTTTCTGTCCAAGGACCCAGTCAACAAAGAAGCTGTTACAGACTCTTGGGTGCCAGGCACCTGCTGAGTGCTTTATAAACGCTGAGCCTTGAAAGCCCTATGGTGACAGTGAAAAGGACTCCAAGTGGACCCCGAGGCATCCCTGGTACGTTACAGATGGGAAAACTGAGGCCTCAGAGAGGTTGGCAGAGCCGGAAAGTGGCAGGGCAGATTTCACTCCACCCCAGGCAGTCTGGCCTGAGGCTGTGCCCTCTGCCGATTTACCATCTGCTCATCCAACAGCGGGGAACCCTGCCGGTGGGTGGAGCCGTGGACATCTCTCCCAGCACAGCGGGGGCCCAGTGCTCCCACCAACTCGGTTCTCAGCAGCAGAACCCGAAGCTTCTGCCAGGGTTATGTCAGGGAACTCAGGCATCCAAACCTCACACAGAGCCAAATGCAAGGGTGCCAGGCTCCAGCCTTGGCACCGGAAGCCAGCGATCCTGTCTCCCCATGACAGGGGACAGCTCGCCTGGGGCCTTTCCCTTTGTCCCCCCTGCCAGCCCCACCCAGCCCCCGCCCATCTGCCGAGACCCTGGCTCCCACCCCCTGCACCTGGCCACCCTGGCAGGCAGC